TGTCTCTACTGTCTGCCATTCTGGTACACTCGTGGAGTAGACCGCCTATTGCTGCTTTGATTTGGTCGGTCCATCGCATGGGTGAACTGAAACGATATTTAGAATATAAAAATATATCCAGAATGTTAAAAAATCTATCATAAAGTTGGCAACCCTGAGATCAATCAACTCATGCAGGTGCGCGTCTATCGAAAGGAATGGAGAATTTCTGGTCGCTTGTTTTTGATCGGTGTACTTTTTTTAGTCTAAATATATGTATATAACTCAAAGGTGACTGACTGACATAGTGATCTATCAACGCACAGCCTAAACCACTGGACGGATCGGGCTGAAATTTGACATGCAGGTAGATGTTATGACGTAGGCATCCGCTAAAAAAGGATTTTGATTAATTCTACCCCCAAGGGGATAAAATAGGGGATGAAAGTTTGTATGAAACTTTGTCAATTTTAAACCGATCGGGCTGAGACTTTGCATGCATAAAGCTACTATGACATAAGCATCCCCTAATAAAGGATTTTGATAAATTCCACCCCTAAAGGGATACATTAACGCGAGCGAAGCCGCAGACATAGCTAGTTAATTATAAATGTTTTGTAATATTATGCATTTTAGTTATATATATATATATGTTTGATATGAATGTTTTATTGCCTTGTATGCGTGTGAGACGTGGTTATTAAGCTAGTTGAGTAATATATATAAGTACGGTAGAATGGCCCCTAGTAGATTTAGCTCAGGGCCCCAGAAATTCACGATCCGCCCCTGATGTCAATAAAGGTTTTAATTGCGAGATAATTGTACTAATGTGATATATTACAAAGTTAATTCAATTAAGATTCCAATATATTACGGAGTTATTGAATCCTTACTTTTGTTCTTTTGCAGTTCTAATTTACTAGCTACGAGACGACCTCGGTGGTATACCGGTCTAGCACACTGCTTTACGTCCGATGGTCGCGGGTTCGATTCCTCGCACGGCACAAACATTTGTATTCATGAGTATGATTGTTTGTATCGGTGTTGTATGTATTTACGAAAAAAAAATATCTATGTACTTGTATCAGTTATCTAGTACCCATAACACAAGCTTTAGGTAGCTTAACGTGGGACTAGATGGCGCTGTGTGAATTGTCCTGAGATAAAAAAAAATCTCTTACAGGATGTTAAATTGATCTCATTACTTAATACATGTATAGAATTTACTTTATAAGTTTATTGTAACTAGTGATCGTTCAATAGTCGAAATTCGATCATAAATAATTTGAATATTAAGCAAAGTTCTATTGTCAAAGAGTTTATACTTCTGTGTGTATATGTCAATTACATGGTAGTGTGTGTAATAATATATAATAATAATAATAATAATCTCAGGACAATTCACACAGCGCCATCTAGACCCAAGTTAAGCTAACTAAAGCTTGTGTTATGGGTCCTAGACAACTGATACAAATACATAGATATTTTTTTTTTGTAAATACATACATATTATACATAGAAAACACCCAGACCTATACAAACAATCATACTCATGAATACAAATGTTTGTGCCGTGCGAGGAATCGAACCCGCGACCATCGGTCGTAAAGCGGTGTGCTAGACCGCTAGACCACCGAGGTCGTCGTGTGTAATATTAATGTTATATACATATTCGTGTTAATTTATTCCCTTAGGGGTGGAATTTATTATTATTATTATATTACAATGGTAATTCAATTACAATTCCAACATATTACGGAGTTACTGAATCCTTACTTTTGTTCTTTTGCAGTTCTAATTTACTTGCTACTCGCCACGGCTTCGCACGGGTGTACACGTATTATAGTAGTCTTACGAGCTATGTGCCTTGTCCATTGCCACTTAAGTATCGCAAGCAGTAAGCTATTATATCATTAATATACTAACTACTTGCTTATATATACAATAATAATAATAATAAAGCCCTTTATTTCCATAACCATCCAGAAGTTGGTACAAATAAAAAAAAAAATTGTTAGTAATTTTTTTTTTCCTCTTGAATCACTCTACCTATTAAAAAAAACGCTTTAAAATCCGTTGCGTAGTTTTAAAGATTTAAGCATACATAGGGACGGACAGACAGCGCCAGCGACTATGTCGTATACTATGTAATGATATCAGAATCAGTTATTGCACCCCGAGTTGTAACGATATAATTAATTTACAATTCCAGAGCACTCTCAAACCTCAAAAGCTTTTATTAAAATTAATTTAAACTTTCGTCTTAATTCAAATTAACATCGGTTATCTTTCGGATCGTCGTCCGATGAATAAATATTGCGGAAATTCACCTCCGTCATATCGTACAGTGTAATTTAATAACGACCAAAGAGAATTAACTGATAATTTAAAAGCAAACGTTAAAGTCTTAAACAAGTATTTTATTTATAAACTAGCTTTTGCGGCTTCGCTCGCGTTAATTTATCCCCTTAGGGGTGGAATTTATTAAAATCCTTTCTTAGGAGATGCCTATGTCATAGTAGCTTTATGCATGCAAAGTTTCAGCCCGATCGGTTTAAAATTGACAAAGTTTCATACAAACTTTCATCCCCTAGTTTATCCCCTTGGGGGTAGAATTAATCAAAATCCTTTCTTAGCGGATGCCTACGTCATAACATCTACCTGCATGCTAAATTTCAGCCCGATCCGTTCAGTGGTTTGGGCTGTGCGTCGATAGATCACTACGTCAGTCACCTTTGAGTTATATATATATTTAGATAACTATAGATAAAACACTACTGGAGACAATGGCTGTATGGGCTGAGTCCTTTTGCCTTTCACTGAAAAAGGAAATACCGAACCAAAAAAAAATATAGTCAATTTTTTTATGACAGAGACAAACCAAATCACAGATAAAACCTAGTAATAATTACTCATGAAGTATTTTTTGTTATGACTGCTTCGGTGGTCTGGTGGTTTAGCACACTGCTTTACTTGTGATGATCGCGAGTTCGATTCCTCGCATGGTGCAAACATTTGTATTCATGAGTATGACTGTTTGTAGCGGTCTGGGTGATTTTTATATTATGTATGTATTTACAAAGAAAATATCTAAGTATTTATATCAGTTGTCTAGCACCCATAACACAAGCTCTACTTACCTTGGGACTAGATGGCGCTGTGTTAATTGTCTAGAGTTATTTATTCAGCAGCACACAAGTTTCTTGCTCGTTCTTGTTATGACTATTCAAAAGTGCTTAAATTAAGTTTATTTGAATAAATGATTTTCTATTCTATTCTATTCTATTCATTTATCTTTTAAGCATTTCATTTAAATTCAAGTGGTTTTTTGCTTGTATCGGTTTTCTGTTTGTTTCGGTCTGGGTGATATGTATGTATGTTATGTATGTATTTAAAAAAAATCTAAGTACTAGCTGTCGCGTACTCAATACGCTCACAAAATTTTATGAGAATCGGTCAAGCCGTTTCGGAGGAGTATGGGAACGAAAACTGTGACACGAGAATTTTATGTATAAGATTTATATCAGTTGTCTAGTACCAATAACACAAGCTCTACTTACCGTGGGACTAGATGGCGCTGTGTTAATTGTCCAGGGTTATTTATTTATTTTTTAAGCATTTCATTGAAATTCAAACGGTTTTATGGTCTGGAGGATTTGTATGTATATTATGTATGTATTTACAAAAAAAAATCCTATCAGTTGTCTAGTACCCATAAAACAATCTCTGCTTATCTCGAGACTAGATGGCGCTGTCTTAATTGTCCAGGTTTATTTATTTATTTTTTAAGGATTTCATTTAAATTCAATTGGTTTTACATGTACATAATAGTCGTGTGACACCGTTTGTTTGTTTGTTTGTAAGCATCGACCTATAAATTATATTCGGCGGCATGTAACAATGGTGCGGAGGTGCTCCCTTTGTGTGAACGATGGTGTTTCCGATCCACTGTTTCACTGCTCTGTTTCTCGCTGCAGCACAAAAAGCTTTTGTAGGTTCGTCTGCACACGCTGTGTAGTTACAAAAAAAATTGGGTCGCAATCCGAACGTTATGTACTTTTATTATCACTACATGGAAAAACACAAAGTCGCTGTAGCTGTCTGTCTGTCCGTATGCTTAAATCTTTAAAACTACGCAACGGATTTTGAAGCGGTTTTATTAATAAATACAAACTACTCGATGGATTTACATTATTTTGTTTAATTCCGCTAAAATTACAAAAAAAGTAATAGTATAAATTCATCAAGTAATGAAATGGATTTCCGCAAAATAATTCAATTAAATAAATAAACTGATACAAATACATAGATATCATTTTTTTTTTCGTAAATACATACATATTATACATAGAAAACACTCAGACCGATACAAACAATCATACATATATATAATACATGTACACCCGTGCGCAGCCGGGGCGAGTAGCTAGTAAATATGTATATAAACTAACTGGAATTTGACTTTATTTTTTTTAAATAAAAGTAGCCTAAGTTATTCCTTATTACATCAGCTACGTGTCAAAAAAAGTCCCGTTAAAATCGGTCCAGCCATTTCAGAGATAACCCGGAACAAACAGACCGACAGACAGACAGACAAAAATTTTAAAAAGTGTTTTTTTTTCGTATATACCGTATTTATATTCATATGCATGTAATAAAAAACGGTTATTTCAATATTACAAACAAACACTCCCTTTTATTTATATGTATATACGAGTATATATACACTAGCTGTCCCAGCAAACGTTGTTTTGCCTTAAAATGAAAAAAAAATAGGGGTGAACTACCCCTAACATTTAGTGGGATGAAAAATAGATGTTGGCCGATTCTCAGATACTACTCAATACGTTCACAAAATTTCATGAGCCGTTTCGGAGAAGTATGGGAACGAAAACTGTGACACGAGATTTTATATATAAGATATGTATTAACCGCGAAGCTTTAGAAAAGTTGTTAATTGGTATGTTAATTAGACACTGAAGTTTAAAATAATGTATTAATTGTACATAATGTTGTTGCAGGCGACACAATATGTCCAAACGGCATGTTCAGATGTCCTGAGGGCAAGTGCATACCAGCGTTATGGGTGTGCAACTACCAACGCGATTGCGACAAGGGCGAGGACGAGTTCCAGTCGTGCCGTGAGTATACCGCCTTATTTATACTACAGTTTGTGATAAACCACCCTATATATTTCTCCAGTCGTGCCGTGAGTACACCGCCTTATTTTATTTTATACTATAGTTTGTGATAAACCTCCCTATATATTTATCCAGTCGTGACGTGAGTACACCGCCTTATTTATACTACAGTTTGTGATAAACCTCCCTATATATTTCTCCAGTCGTGCCGTGAGTACACCACCTTATTTATATTACAGTTTGTGATAAACCTCCCTATATATTTCTCCAGTCGTGCCGTGAGTACACCGCCTTACTTATACTACAGTTTGTGATAAACCTCCCTATATATTTCTCCAGTCGTGCCGTGAGTACACCGCCTTATTTATACTACAGTTTGTGATAAACCTCCCTTTATATTTCTTTCTTATAGATGATAATGAATAAAAAATAGATGATAAAAAAATACACCTGATACGATCACTAGTTGTCTCCATCGCGCTATATGGTGCAGAGACATAGACCCTCAAAGCCTCTGATAGGCAGAGTTGATGCCTCTGAAATGTGGTGCTGGCGTCGACTGTTGAGGATACCGTGGACAGCCCACCGTACAAATGTTTCTGTACTAATAGAGCAGAAATTGGAAGATTCTACTTGTCTGCAGCGCATTGTGCGATACTTCGGACACATCGCGCGGAGGGTTGTAGACAATATGGAGAGACTGATGGTAACAGGGAAGATTGAAGGTAAAAGACCTCGAGGCTGAAGTCCCATCCGATGGTCAGATCAAATATCACGTCAACTGAACATTACTGTCAGCGGCGCAATACATCAGGCATCTGAGTGCAGCAGATGGCGACGGCTGGTCGACAAGATATAGAGTCACGATCCTCAGCAGTGAGGGAACGATTGAGAAGATAGATGATAATGAAATTGTGTGGTGCACCCGCCTGCGCTAATGGTATACGCTGGCGGGGCACCAGTGGAGAATGATAAGATGTTCCTGAGGGCAGGTCAGTTAGGCCATCGTGACAAATTCACTAGGGATTTATCGCGATGGTTTCCAGGGGGATCCGCGTGGAGGTCAACCTGACCTTATCATCAATCCACATTAGTAACAACCGCCTTTCCCCCCAATTTTTTCTTATTTTAAACTCTGTTTTTATATATGATTTTTACTTTTATATTTTTGTTTAATTGTATACTTGTATCTGTTGTTACTAGCTAATCAGATATGTATTTTATATTCTAAATTTGTATTTGAATTTATAGTTCTTTTATATTACATTCTTGTTTTTGATACTTCAATTCCTTTCATTCTATTTCTAATTGTCAGTAGTCTATATTAATATATTTTCTCCGTTTACCTAGTCTATTTTCTTATTACTACAACACGTTATCAGCACGATTTCAACAAGCACAATACATTATAGGAAATCCGAGCAAGAAAAAGATTTTAATTTGTGATTTCTTTGTGCTAATAAGGAAAATTTTTTTTTGTAATTCCTTTTTTTTTATTACCTTTTTTACCATTTCTGATTAAGGGGGAGTGTTGTAACTGGTAATCAGATATGTATTTTATATTCTAAATTTGTATTTGAATTTATAGTTCTTTTATATTACATTCTTGTTTTTGATACTTCAATTCCTTCTTTCTATTCCTAATTGTCAATAGTCTATATTAATATATTTTCTCCGTTTACCTAGTCTTTTTTCTTATTACTACAACAGTATCGAATATACTGCAGGATTGGTTAGTTAGTTATTTATTTTACCATAAAAACGATATTCCACCGTTGCCAGCTTTATTAACTACGATGGTGGCAAATAAGCATACGGCCCATCTGATGGTAAACGGTTACAAAAGCCTAGGCACGCCTGAAATATTAAGGGCGTCACGTGCTAGTTTTCAACCCTTAAAAAATCTTAATATACCCTTTTTGAAAAAGCAGCTACCGTGAATACACCGCTTTATATTGCCATTCAACAATAAATGAGTCGTCGTCAAATTGGTTGGTATTAAAAATATAAGTAAATACATATATAAAAAACATTCTGACCAATCAATCATAATCTATACATATAAATAAAATTGGAGTGTCTGTTTGTATTATTGAAATAATCGTTTTTTCACACATGCATATGAATATAAATACGGTACATACACCAAAATAACATTTTTTACTATTTTTATCTGTTTGTCTGTCTGTTTGTTCCGGCTAATCTCTGAAATGGCTGGACCGATTTTGTCGGGACTTTTATTGGCAGGTAGCTGATGTAATAAGGAGTAATTTAAGCTACTTTTATTTTAGAAAATAAATCTAAAAAAAATCGAAATAAAAAATTAAGTTAAATTCCAGGCGGACGAAGTCGCGAGTACAGCTAGTCATGAATATAAATGTTTGTACCGTGCGAGGATTTGGAAGTAATGAAGGAAAGGAAGGAATTATAATCATCATCATCATCTGCTTCTTCCTTATCCCGTTTATTTGTGGTCGTAATATGTTTTTCTCTTCCATTCATCCCTGTTCGCAGTCATCGCGTTATTTACTTCCTTTCTTACCATATCTTTCACACAGTCCATCCATCTCTTTTTCGGCCTTCCTCTGCCCTTATAACCATCCAAAATTAAGGAATTATAATGATTAAAGTTTAAAAAAGTATTAAATTCTTTCATATGTTTGTAAACCAATGAAAACGACACATGTGAACATGGCCTTCGTTGTACACTCGTATAAATTAACACCAATAATGGCGGAGTTATTAATTGCACGAATTATACCGTGTCAACAGCGCCTGGTACATGTACAGTCGGACTCGTGTACATCGTAATAAGAGGGGTCAATGACCTTTGATAGGTTAAAAAAAATACCACGTCTAATTCATTACTGTTTAGTATGTAATTTTATAAAATAAAAATATATTGTTAACATACTATATTATATTATCAAATTATAACAAATTTGGGCCCTGAACCCCGGCCGACTGTGCTTCTGCCGGCGATATGTTGCCATCTCCTCTCCTTAAGAGGGGAGATGAGAATTTTTGTAGAATAATCATAATAATATTCTCAAGACAATTCACACAGCGCCATCTACACCCAAGTTAAGCTAGCTAAAGCTTGTGTACTATGGATACTAGATAACTGATACAAGTACATAGATATTTTTTTCGTAAATACATACATTATACATAGAAACACCCAGACAATCATACTCATATACAAATGTTTGTGCCGTGCAAGGAATCGAGCCCGCGTCCATCGGAAGTAAAACGGTGTGCTAGACCGCTAGATCACCGAGGCAATAATTAAAATACCATCCTAATCATCTGGATGAATGGCGGTCCTCCACAGTGCGGTTTTCTAGAAACTTTTTACCACACACAACCACATTGTGGAATCACCTTCCAGCAATGGTATTTCCGAACCGATACGATATGGAAAAGTAGCCCAAGTTACTTCTTATAACCTTATATTAGATATCTGCCATTTCAGAGATTAATTAACAAGAGCAAACACACAGATAAACAGAAAGACAAACAATAATTTATAAAATTACTTTTTTGATGTAAGTAGCTTATATACCTATACATTTTTTTATTTTTTTTATTTTTCATTTTAACAAATTAACAGCTTTTAAAAAGGTGTTATATATATATTAAAGTTTACTGCCTATCTATCATATTATTGTCCGTTGTGTAATTTATGAAGCCGAATGTACCCTGCGTAGCCATAGCACCCCTTCCCGCGCGTAATTAGGTGCGGGTTCGAATTTGTACAATTTCTCACTACGGTTTGTAAACACACCTGTACTACAATATATTTAGACTGCCTCGGTGGTAAACACACCGCTTTACCGCCGATGGTCGCGGGTTCGATTCCTCGCAGGGTACAAACATTTGTATTGATGAGTATGATTGTTTGTATCGGTCTGGGTGTTTTCTATGTATAATATATATTTATGTATGATTCGATGTATAGGTATCAGTTGTCTAGTACCCATAACACAAGCTCTAACTAGCTTAACTCTAGATGGCGCTGTATGAATTGTCCTGAGATTATCATTATTATAATCATATTAAGATAAAGTCCCTAAATAGATCGAAAATTAAAGAAAAACCTTATAATATTTGTTGTACATACCCGAGCAAACCCGGTGCCGTCGCTAGTTATACTAATACATTGTCTGCATTGTCAGTGCAGTTCTGTTTACATATCCCATTCACGGCACGTCTGCAACTCGACACTGTACAACGTCATGAGTTTACAAGTCATTCTATTCTATTATTAGATACTAAATAATACACGCGACTTCGTCTGTACCACACAAACGTCTATATACATGAACTACGGTTTTTTTTCGGACTCTAATGCTGTCGGCCGCAGCTGGCCTTTACAGCTTCACCGGATGATAGGGGGCGAGTGCAGATGGCACTCCAAACCAAGGAAGGACTTATGGAGCGGCTGAAGGCCAGCTCCTGCCTGACGGATACGACTTTAGTCTGAGGGCACAAGGGACTTTTTTAATCTTTTTTCTGATAGATTGAGTACAGACCCTAGCAGTTTGTTGTAACACCTTACGCAGTTTCTGTAAAACAAATTACTAATTTTCGTCAAACGGCACTTAGGTAAAGTTAGTTATGTTTAAACTTTCGTGTTTAATATACATTATTTATATTATTAACCGGGTCTTAACACGAATAATTTTATGGCAAATCAGGGTATTTACCTCTCTCGACGTTTCGACTAGGTTGCACTAGCCGTGGTCACGATCTGACTGGAGTAACAGCGATGTCAATGTAGATAGGTGACAGCAGTTCTTTCATCTACCGTCATTAGATTGTTCAACGAAAGTTCGCAACACAGCACTCACGATATCCACACTTATCGACTGTTGATGCTACTGCTGCTGTACTACTTAGGTAAAGTTAAAGGTAACTTCAAATATCGCGTATAGCACAGTAGACCGTGAATAGACAGGTTATAATTTCAGCCGGACCGCGAATGTCCCGCCTTACCTGGCTTTGTTGCACACGAGAAATGATAGTGCAATTTTTCACGGCGTCTAGATTTCCCGAAGCGCGCTCAAATGGGCGACTAAGCTCAGAAAAATAGGCTTAATGTCATGTCACCTGTCAAATGAGGGGTGGGGGTGAAGCTCGACACACACTGGTGTAGGGCGGGCGGGGATGTGTGGTGTGTGTTATGTGGATTAAATATTTTGAAGGCCTCATTGGTCTAGCGGGTAATAACACCGCTTCACTTCCGATGGTCGCGGTTTCGATTCCTCGCATGATGCAAATATTTATATCATCATCATCATCATCATCATCATCATCGCAGCCCGGAAGACGTCCACTGCTGGACATAGGCCTCCCCCAAAGATCTCCACGACGATCGGTCCTGCGCTGCTCGCATCCAATGCCTTCCAGCGATCTTGACCAGATCGTCGGTCCACCTAGCTGGAGGCCTTCCCACGCTGCGTCTTCCGGTCCGTGGTCGCCACTCGAGGACTTTACTGCCCCAACGGCCATCTGTCCTACGAGCTATGTGCCCTGCCCATTACCACTTCAGAGTCGCAATTCTTCGGGCTATGTCGGTCACTCTGGTTCTTCTGCGGATCTCCCCATTTCTGATTCGATCACGCAGAGTAACTCCGAGCATAACCCTCTCCATTGCCCTCTGAGTGACTCTGAGCTTGTTGATGGGGCCCATAGTTAGCGACCACGTCTCTGTTCCGTAAGTCATCACTGGCAACACACATTGGTCAATCATCAGAAATACATGTGTGTATTTCTAAAAAAATCTAAGTATTTATATCAGTTGTCTAGTACCCATAACACAAGCTCTACTTACAGTGAGAATAGATAGCACTGTGTTAATTGACTAGGGTTATTTTTTAAATAATGTATTACAAACTATATTTACATAGTATAAAATAAAGTCGTTTCCGCGATCTATTCGCTTATATCTTTTAAATTATGCAACACATTTTAATGCAGTTTTCAGCAATAGATAGAGTGATTCTCTGATGATTTATATGTATAATACATGTATGTTATAGTATAGAATAAGCGCTGAAATTTTCAGATTTGTAATGCATCTGTGCGGAACCGGTACGGGTCTCATCACAAATTTCGATTGTTACATTGCTCCGGCGATGGATGCTGGACCGATTTGAAGAAATATTTTACTCTTAAAATACTACATTATCCTTGATGAATATAGGTGATAGGATATTTTCAAAACGTTGTATTGTTATAGAAATAACACGTTAAACACCGCATGCCCACCAGTGGGTCAGTCCGCAACGAAAGTGAATTTATACATTGGGATGATCCCAATGCGTAAATTCACTTACGTTGCGGCCGTGGGCACTTTAATTGAGATAAATCTAGCAGTTAAATAATGTCTAACTCAAATTGTTGTACACTAGAAACATATTTAAAACTATCTGTACCCGCTACTTCGTCCGAGTGGAATTTAACTTTATTTTTCTAAAATAAAAGTAGCCTAAGTTACTCGTTATTACATCAGCTACCTGCTGAAAAAAGTCCTGTCAAAATCGGTCCACCCATTTCAGGGATTAGCCGGAACAAACAGACAAACAGATAGACTGACAAAAAAATGTTATTTTGGTTTATGTATCGTATTTATATTCATATGCATGTATTAAAAAACGGTTAATTCAATATTACAAACAGACACTCCAATTTTATTTATATGTATAGATATAATATACGTAATTAACAATAAAAAAAATGCCACTCCCTATGTGAGAATTAAAATAACCGCAAAAAATAGAAAAAAATATATAGTTAGTTAATACATATTAATAAGGTAATAAAACACGATTATAAACTATTTACAATATAATCTAAACAATCACATCGCATACATTGTTTGTACGCACAAACACAACTTAGAAACCCTCTCGGTCCAACTATTGGGGCAGCGATGCGTAAATTCAATTTGCACCTCAGAAACCTCAATTATAGGGGACCCCACACACCGGGGACTGGCTCGAGGACCCTCGACAGATCACTGTGGTCCTCGTTGATTGATGGCTGACACTGATTGCAGGTCAAGAGCTTTTGAGAGCTTCCTTTATACTAATAACAATTGATTTCATGATGGGTTTCTGATTTGGTCGTAAGTCGATTATTACAGTAAATAAACAGTGAGTTAAGTGCGAGCTGGATTAGTATAAAAGGTTCTGAATGTTTCATTTTTTTATAGAATAGAAATACTCTTTATTTCAATCAATAAACTTAATATAAACACTTTTGAATAGTCATATTATCTTATTTTACCACTCATTCGGAACGCAGTATCACTACAAGAAGAATGAGTAAGAAACTTGCGTGTTGCTCTTTTAAATAAATACATATTAACTAGGAGGAGGCATGCGATAATCAATATAGAAGCTACGCACTCAGAGTTATCAGATAATATTGTGAAGACTACGAATTTTATGTTTATTAATAACATTTACAAACTCTTCATTTTTATATATCACTTTCTTTGTAATATAAGTTTATTACAAAGAAACTTTTTATACGACATTTATCCATATTCTTTTTTCAGACAAATATTTTCAAAGATTTTGTGACGGGACAATTATAGTTGATATATTATCAGTATTACTATTAAATAAAGGCAAAATTATTACCATCACTGTGATCGCCGTATCAATGTAACTTTGACTGTTGAACTTGCTTTTACTTCCACAATACAGACTTTTTGATTTTGACTACTGATTAGACTTTTTGCTCTTGCAAAAGCAAAGCCTCATCAGTAGTCGAAATATATGCTGGTGGTTCACTCACACTCAATTTATAATGGTTGTAAACATGTATAACATTTATTTGAAAGGAATACGAGATGAGTTTCTTGTCAGTTCTTCTCATCTCGAAATCATTCCGAACTGACGGTAGAGATATCATAAGAGTCTGTAATAGACCGACATGAATGAAGATATTTTGAATTTTAAATTTAATTTGAAAAATAAATTCAAAGTAGTTATTACATAGTATAAAACAAAGTCGCTGTCGCTGTCTGTCCCTATGTATGCTTAAATCTTTAAAACTACGCAACGGATTTTGAAGCGGTTTTTTTTAATAGATAGTGTGATTCAAGAGGAAGGTTTATATGTATAATACATGTACACCCGGGCGAATACGGGGCGAGTAGCTACTCGCCTAACTAGCTGTTAACCATATAATAATAATAATTTATACCAATATTGTTGAGATTAAGATGGTTCAATAAAACGTTACATTTATTGTCCACAGCGCCACCAGACTGCGAGGCAGGCCAGTTGACGTGCGGACAGTACGTGTGGAACAAGACCTACTGTCTACCACCACACTACCGCTGCGACATGCACATAGACTGCGTGGACGGCACCGACGAGGCGGAATGCAGTAAGTACCATTTTTTTTCGGACTACTCTAATGCTATTGGCCGCAGCTGGCCTTTACAGCTTCACCGGACGATAGCGGGCGAGTGCAGATGGCACTCGCCCGCTATTGTCCGGTGTCCGCTATCGTCCGGTGTCCGTTATCGTCCGGTGTCCGCTATCGTCCGGTGTCCGCTATCGTCCGGTGTCCGCTATCGTCCGGTGTCCGCTATCGTCCGGTGTCCGCTATCGTCCGGTGTCCGCTATCCAAACCAAGGAAGGACTTATGGAGCGGCTGAAGGCCAACTCCCGCCTGACGGATACGACTTTAGTCTGAGGGCTTGAGTTCTTCGGCTCAGGCCGTCATAATATCGATCCCCGTTGAAATGAACGAGGGATCGATTGGAGTATAGATGGCGCTTTGTGAGTTGTTCTGAGGTTATTATTATTATTATTATAAAAAAAAAGCCAGATCACTGTCTGTACATTAACGTAACTTCCTAGTGGTAAGAGAATAATCGTAATCGGTTCAGTAGATACATATTTAACATCTACAATCTCATAAAATTTACTGCTTTATCATGAAGTGAAATAGAAATAGTAATAGAAATAATCTTTATTCAAATAAACTCATTACAAGCACTTTTGAATAGTCATATTTTGATTCTACCACTCATTCGGAATGCAGATTCATCACAAGAAGAATGAGCAAGAAACTTGTGTGTTGCTCTTTTTAATAGAAGTATAGATGATATACTATTCTTAAACTTAATATCAGCCAGTACAATTGAATAAACTTTATGTTCTTGCTAGCTGACCCGCACAGCTTCGTCTGCGTTTCATTTCCCCACTTTTGCAATATTGTTCATTGCAGCTCCGCTCCTATTGGTCGTAGCGGAATGTTATATAGCTTAAAGCCTTCCATGACAAATGGACTATCACAAAAAGATATTTTCAATTCTAACCAGTAGGTTCTGAGATTTGCGTGTTCAAACAAACAACGTTTTCAGCTTTATATATAACTAGCTGTACAAGCGACTTCGTCCGCGTGGAATTTAACTTGATCTTTCAAAAATAAAAGTAGCCTAAGTTACTCCTTACTATTTCAGCTACCTGCCAAAAAATCCCATCAAAATCGCCATTACAGAGATTAACCGGAACAAATTGACAGACAAGAGAAAAATCGTAAAAAATGATATTTTAGTGTATGTACCGTGTTTATATTCATATGCATGTAATAAAAACGGTTATTACAATATTACAAACAGACACTCCAATTTTATTTATATGTATAAATGTAGGTTGTCAGGTTGTGTACACTGATTAAATTTTTTGTTCTTTGCGATAGCATATGCTGGTGGTCACTCTATTCTCCCAAATTTGAATTTTAATAACTGTATTTATCATAAACATGTTCCACTATTATTTGAAAAAAAATACGAGCTGAGTTTCTTGTCAGTTCTTCTCATCTCGATATCATTCCGAACTGACGGTAGATTTGACATATCATAAGAGTCTGTAATAGACCTACATGAATAAAGATATTTTGAATTTGAATTTGAATTTGAAAGTAGTTTTAAATACATTCCCATACTTCTCGCTGAAAATCAAATTCGCATCGGAATAACATTAGAAGTTAGAACTAGTTTGTGTCCTGCGCATTCGTTTAACAACCTGCACGCGTTTGAATCCATTACTGAACTCGACGTTTCAGAGTTTAGGAGAGCAGTTTGAACGATGGTCTGTTGAGTATCTGAACTGTTCTGTTCTGTTATATATTCAATATTTTTTCTATTTGAGTATTTAATTGAATTAGTGCTAATCGGTGGTTTGTATTCATACACTTAAACTTAAAAATGTAAAGTAATAATAAAATTATTTAAAAGAGCAACACGCAAGTTTCTTGCTCGTTCTTCTTGTGATGAGACAGCTTTCCAAACGAGCGGTAGATTAAAAAATGTAATGACTATTCAAAAGTGCTTCAATGTAGGTTTATTTGAATAAATGATTTTCTATTCTATTCTATTCTATTCTATTCTTGTTCGTTTTCATTCCAAGAAATATTGTAGCTGACCCCGCAAAATGTGTTTTAACCTATATATTACTATATATATAATATAAATAATCGCTAAAAATAGGGGTTAATGTAATAACTCTTACATTATGATAAAAATCCCTTAATAAAGACCTAAATTTTCGCCCGTCTATGTCTACATCTCGTTTTAATACTACATTATAAATAGGGGTTAATGGTCCCTAATTATTTTAGATAAAAATAAAAATTGGCTGAAAATCTGGGGCTATATGTATATTGCCCTAAGTTTTCGCCCGTCTACGTTACATCATACGCTACGTCTACCTCTCGTTTTAATACCACATTATAAATAAAAAAAAGTCAAAAAAATTAAAAACAATGTTAGGTCGACAACCCTTATCACTTAGGGGTATGAAAAATAAATTAAGTTTAAATTTAAAAAATAACAAAATTCTTTCTTGGGGGATGCCTACATCATAGTAGCTTTATGCATGCAAAGTCTCCGCCCGATCGGTTTAAAATTGACAAAGTTTCATACAAATTTTTATCCCCTATTTTATCCCCTTTGTGGTAGAATTAATCAAAATCCTTTCTTAGCGGATGCCTACGTCATAACATCTACCTGCATACCAAATTTCAGCCCGATCCGTCCAGTGGTTTGGGCTGTGCGTTGATAGATCACTATGTCAGTCACCTTTGAGTTATATTTTTTTAAGACTAGCTGTGCCCGCGTCCTCGTCCATGTGTTCTTGTGACCTCGACCAGACAAAGAATAGATATTCAATAATCTAAGTCAAAAAGGCAAATAAAATGAGGTATTTTCCATACAAACTTCAATCCCGTTTAGGTAAAAATTTTTACCGCTTTATGGGTAACATTTTTACAAACTTTGATTGTCATATTTATTAGTATTTAATCAACAGCCTCAAAAATAGGTTTCGAGCTTCTAGCTTCAAAAATGACTCAGTCAGCGAATTAACATCATATTTCTGAACCAGCGACTGCATCATACCGCATGGCCGTGAAACCTTATTTTCTATTATTTTTCGCAATTTCGCAAACACTACATTGTTAATTTAGATGTTATGCTAAAAAACCAGCGCTTCGAATATTGCGTCCTATTTCTTTAAGAGACGATTTGCAAATGAAACGTTAGACCAAACAAGTTAGATCTTCCGCGCCGCTGAGTTACAAGTGGCGATGGTCGGCGGCCCCTCAGGATGGGGTCCAATATAATTTGGCGTGGAGTGGGGAAACTTCCAACAAGTGGGCAAGTTTTAATGGTGTGGAAATTGCGTTTTTGTTTGCCGCTCGTATCACTGATGTCATGTAAATCTGTTGTCCCTACACTTCGCGGATGAAGCTAGAACTTCGTTTGGTGTACTTAACTCTTTTATATAACTTCTACAAATTGTGTTTTGAGGGCCCATTGTTTATCACAAAGGTATTGTAGGAAACAGAACATCTGTTGGATTTATTTTTAGGACAGTACTAGGATTATTTACTGCAAGGATTGTTTAAAAGAGCAACGCACAAGTTTCTTGCTTGTTCTTCTTTTGATGAGACAGCTTCCCGAATGAGTGGTAGATTAAAAACAAATTGTTATAACTATTCAAAAGTGCTTAAATTAAGTTTACATATTTGAATAAATGATTTTCTATTCTATTCTATTGAACAATCTACTCGCCCATCTATTTTTCATCCCCCTAAATGTTAGGGGTAGTCCACCCCTAAATTTTATTTTTTAGACAACATTTTTAGTTTCTATTTTTTTATGATACAACATACAAAAATACATACAATCCTAAATTTTCACCCTTCTATCATTAACCCCTGTTTTTTTATAGCGTTATTAATTTATATGGCAAAACAACGTTTGCTGGGACAGCTAGTAGCAGTATAAAAGAAGAACTCAGTACACTGTCTGTCGCCCCAACGATTCGTTTCATAAGATTGCATCGGTTGCTCCCAAGCGGTTCAGAGATGTGCGCCAACTGATTTGTTCCAATGTTTGCCGATTTTGTTACCTTTAGCCCAGCGTGTACAATGGATCCGGGATCCCTGATGACAACAAGGCGAGAAAAGTGATAAGGACCGGAAAAAGGGTTCAATTCTAACACCTCTCAAGATTCGCTTGATTTATGCGGAAGTTTTCGTTTAACGCGTCTCACGCCGAGCACTGGCAGATTTCGCGGAGTTTAATTTATCGATTGCTTTTATAATCTTCTAATTCTAAAACAAGAACATTATTATTATGATTATTTATAGATAAGTTGATAGAAGCCTATTACTCACTAAACGATTACTTGAATGACGAGCGTGCATGGCAATAGTTGTTCATGCACGGGATTTTCATTTAATGTTAGACATAGACACCTATATAAATATACATTGTAAATAAACTGGCTTTTAATAAAAATGAGTAAAATATTCAATTGAGTTTCTTGCCAGTTCCTCTCAATTGGATCTATACACTGAGCTGTGATTGTAGGAAAAAAATAAAAATGTAATATAAAAACAATTACGTTCATAAGCTGCTAAAATGTTCTATTTTGCGGGTGAATAATACGATGTTGTTGGTCCAGACGATGTATATTACAGATGATAATATACTGACAACATGTACATAGAAATAATGATCTTATATACTAAATGACAATAGGAAAATGTAAGGTGGGGTGACACAGTTTAGATACAGCAGTGCTTAGTACACAATATTGAATTTGTCTTCTAGACATTATTAAATGCAATTATTATTTTGATGTACCTATATACCTGTGTCCCTTACCTACATGAATAAATGATTTTTGTATTTAAATTAGATACAGATAGAACAGTTAGATAGATATATATATCGTTTATTTGTTTGTTACTAATCACACACAACATGTTCATAAAAATACCCACTACATAATACGACGTAAGATTTACAACTTTGTGTTATTATGTGTGATCTGTAGCGATACAAAAAGGTCGAAGCTCAGCGTGGA